AAAAAAAAAAAAAATGCAATAAATGAAACTGACAACATTTCTTTCCAGGAACTCATCTATATACAAGTATAAAACTCAGTTATGTAGTTAATTGGTCATTAGCAAATGAGGTACAGTGTTCATGTCTGCAGCACAGAAGGTGGTTTTAAAGAAAACAAAAACCCCACTGTAGATGAATTGCAATAACTGATCTCTAGCGACATGATAATTGTGCTGTGCAGTATACTGTATAGTCAGTTGGTATCCTTATGCATTTATCAGAAACAATATAAAACTGGATAATGAAGAGTCTAATTGAAAATGTCACTTTCCTTACACAAAAAAGTGAGCTGTGCAACTTCACAATATTAGTAACACTTAATGCAATTAATAAGTCATACAATTAAGCTTCAGCTGTCTGTCACGAAGAAGAAATCAAAGTGTTTATACAGCTGCTGACCAAACCATTCCAACGCATCGGTGTGTCTTCTATTTCGGCACCTTTGCTGCACACTTTTAAGGGAAGGCAAGTATACGAGTCGAGCTGCGATCAGCAAACAAGTGAGAATAGCTGGTGTTATGTTGGCACAGCTGCACACAGTCACAGAGTCTTTCTGTTTCCGTGTAGAACGCGAACAAAAACAAGCCCAGAGAAGCAGACTACACAGCTGCCTTCACAACTCGTCGTTCACCATGGCTACAGGCAAAAGCTCTCAACTATTCACATGTTCCATCAGTTTGCCTCAAACACTCCCTACTGTGTTTGCTGTTAGAGCATTGCAATGCTACGTTAAAAGAGCAACACTAGAGCTGAATCGAGTTCAACCAATGTGAATGAGATGTTTTAGGAAGTGCTGTTCTGAGTAGAAAGGTGTTTAAACTGCACTTTACTGCATACAGCTGAAGGGCAAACTTGCAATTAGCTGCCACTGCCAAAAGACTCCATAAAACGAGAAACTTTGAGTTTCCCGGAAAATTTCTTCTTCCTAGAAAGTCTCTTCTCTTGAACAAATCATGACTTTAATGCCGGCAAATCCTGCTGCTTTAGTGTAAACATGATTTTTAACGATTACGACCTCCCAAGGGTTAAATTGGACCAGGGCCTTGTGCTCTTCCCCGTCACCGGACATCCTCCCATCCTCATCCTCTCCCTAAAACACATTTAGCCAGTTTACGCCTGAAACACCCATGGCTGTACCTTAGCAAACAGTTTAGTCCAACCTGTATGCCAGCTGCACTGTACATGACTGGTTACGTTTGAGAAGTTGTTAGACAAGCACATTTTTTTATTTATTTTTTTTTTTTAAATGGTTCCTCTTCTAATCAAAATTCTGATTAATACAGTTCAATAACTCAGTAAATGATACTAAAATCCAGCAATGCACTGATTTTGGACCATTTCACAGTTGGTAAAAGAAAAAGCAAAGAACAAACAACCTGGACAACTTAAAAAGTCAAACAGTATCCTTCAGCAAGCCTGTTTCACCTGCCTTGGGTGGAGCAAACCTGCAGAGAGTTTCTTTCAAAGGAGCCTTTCAAAAGAGAAAACTAGGATTTCTATTTTGCGAGAAATAAACATACTACCGTGGAACCATAACCAAAGATTCAACAAGGGATGCTTGAAATGCAGCAGACAGACGCTAATAAAGCTTTGTTTCATGTTGGTTCAGTAGCAAAGCTTCCGAATGAGTATCGTTGAGTAGATGCCTCACTTTAAAATGTGTAAAGAAACCCCCAGTACCAGGTTTCAGCTTTTTGAGGCAGAGACATAAAAGAAACCCTCCAAATCAAAGTCCAGTAAAACAGAAGCCATCATTACAAATGTAGAGAGACTGGATCTACAAAGCTCTGCAGACCCTCACACACGCCAATTAAGACACATCGAAATTCATTTGATCTTAACTTCGAGAGGGCTGGGGGTGGGAGCAATACTATTGATAATGAGGGAGAGTTTCCGTGCAGCCTGATTCAGGTCAAGCCACCAAAGTGTATACAATACTCAGGCGCTGTGGACCTTACAATTGGTAAACTACAGGCGGTGCTAATCCTAAGGATTCCAAGTCCTAAATGGTAGCTATATCTATTTAAATTCTCAAAACTTCACCCCACCCCCCCTCTCAGGCGCGTCTTAGGCTCTCTTTCACCATCAACTCACCCATACAGTCAATGTACAGTGGAGGCCAGTAACATAAAGGTAATTTATTAACAGAAACCTACAATAATATTTAAAAAAAAAAAAAAAAATTGAGTGTCCTCAATCCAATGTGGCACAGTCTGATAAAGATGTGTCACAGTAAGCAAGGATGCAACAAGTATGTCCTTTACTGCCTGTATCCACTTCAGAGATCCAAAGTTTTCTCCCGTTCAGTGCTTTGGATTTCTTTGGCATGATGATTACTGTTGAACAGAGAATGTATTTTAATGCCACTAGCCGCATTCTTCAACAAGTCATATTCCAGGTCTTGGCTTGCAAAGGCTGATCAAAATCCACAGAAGATGATCGAAATTCCACCGAATCGTTCCAAACATTATCAGCTCCATCTTAAAGCGGCGGCACTTTATCCTCATACTGCGGTGGGGGGGTGAGTGGTTCAATACTGAATCCAGCTGTGGGCTGAGAGTTATCAATGTTTTTCATGTGCAGCTTCTCCGATTTAATCCTGCGGATACTGATAGGGAGAAGCTTAAGGTTATTTTTCCCAGGTCTATGGTTTGATGCAGAAACAGCAGCAGCAGGAGGACCACTCGAATCCACGGCAGGCTGAGATCTGCTAACTGTGCCCTCTGACCCCTCGTTCTCGTACTGCACACCATCCACTTGCACCAGGTCGTCATAGGAAGGCAGCTGGGAGACGCTCGGGCGAAGGCTGCTCTGAGTGACCGGGTACTGGCCACTGCATACCGCCTCCTCGTAGGTGGGCACCGCGTAACGCTGGGCTTGCTGCTCAGCACTGCAAACATTTATGGAAATGCAAGAATAGAAATGGTACACTTTAATTACACATACTATTTAAATGCACAAACACATTATAGTCACACAATGACCGGTCCTGCACTAGCGTTGACTCACATGAGTGAAGATGATACAGCTTATACCAGGGCTGACAAAGTGATTGCCCTGATGTCTAACCCTGAGATTTACACTGCTGAAAAAGAATTTCAGCTACTGTGAGAGTAAATGTTGCTGCCTTTAAAGAAATTCTTGAGCAGGCAATAAAAACCACAAGCAGATCTCTCTCACATGTTTTCAGGTTAAAAGGAAAAAAAAACAAAAAAAACAAAAAAAAAAAAAAACACACTCTCTGGGAGCGTGCTGAACACAATTAACTGAATTTGAGATTCTCTTAATGGACACAAAAAATGAAGAAGTCATTTTGGAAAAAAAGCCCTAATTTTTAAAAGAAGTCAAAAAGTGATTTAGTCAGTCATGAAACTCACGTTTCCCTTTGCTCCTGGTCCCTTCCTCGTGCTCCGCTGTGGTTCTGGGCCTCCCGGAGTTGTTGCTCCCTCCGTTTGTTTCTCATTCCCAGACATAATGACAGCAGGAGCATAGCCACTCCGCAGCCCGTCAAGACGAAGGCCACAGAAGACGCCTTATTTTTCCTGCCTTCACCTGCCGGGTTGCCGCTGCTGCTGCTATTGCCAAGTGGTGTTGCAGGTACCACACTCCACGCAATCATCACAATACCAAGGGCGATAAGCCCAACCCCCAAAGCACAGAGGGCATACTGGGAACCGGAGTTTCCATTGATTTCGCCGCTGGTGTTGTTGTTGTTGCTGTTGTTATTGTTACTGCTACGAGCCTGTTCGTGGCCAAGAGTGTCTGGTGGTCCACCCACAGTGGAACGCATCTTGGCAGTCCCTAGATTTCAGTCAGAGCAGCTGCAGACGAAGTCAGAAACTGTAGAGAGAAAGATACAAGGGGGTGGACACAGAATGAAAATCCCGAGAGACAGAATATGTCAGAGAACAGAAGAGAAACAAAAACACATTTAAAGTTTCTAATGTGGAAATGGTTTCTTTAAAAAGTGGCTGTCTGTGAGGTTGCGTTTCAGTAACATCAGTAGATGAAGTCTCTAAAGGATATTGACTATGTTTTCCAAAAGTTAAAAGCCGAGTCTTGCAGAGGTAAAGTGTGAAGAAGAAAAAAAAAAAAAAAAAACCTGCACACACTTTTTGATCCGTCGGGATTTTAAAGGGATTTTATACTTGGAGAGATATAAAATGTGAGGCACGTCAGCATTCAGCGCACTGCACATATTAGCTGCCTGACAGAGATACGCAAAGTTAGGCAGGGCTATTTGTCCTGATTGCTTTGGCCTTTGCACAGCTACAAAAAGGTCATTTTCCTAATCAATAGTGGCACACAGTATGGATTAAACAAGAGGCTTGCACTCCAGCTTTAAAAACTGTTAGCCTCATTTAGGGAGATGGTCAAATTCAGATCAAAGTGTTGACCCACAAGTAAGTAATAAGGTTATAGATTGCACTCCTTAACTGAAATTATTATTTTTTTTATATATATATATATATATATATATAGTAAGGAGATCAGCATCGTGAGGGTTTAATTCATAGCCTCACCTTACGCCAAAATAGTTGAATATAATGGAAATTTGGCAGTGACCTAAAAAAGAAAAATCTGACATGTAAAGGAGCTGATCATCATAATTTCTGGACATATTAAGTTCCTCACCAGCTCTGAACACGCCGTTAATGTGTTCCTGAGAATGAATTACGAGCCTCCAAAACTCCCCTAGTTCTAGTAGCAGGAAGCCTAACTCAACTCTCAATAGTTAGAGCTCTCCTTAATAAATAAGCGTCATTTCGTAAGGTATTACCGAACATGTTACTTCTGCCCAGAGATTTGTTCTTTATATGCATCCATTTTTCAAAGAAACCCACAGAAGATAAAATTCACTGAAGCAAGATTCCATCAAGGCCACTTCCAGTAGGTGTGCTGAATGGGAAAAAAAAAAAAAAAAAAAATTTACAGCAGACTCACAAAGTCACATCATAAGGAGCTACACTCAGCACTTTAAATGGGCAGATAAAGATTATTACAGCCCCTATAAAAATAAATAAATCTGTACAACATAACCATCCCGTAATTTACAAAGAAATATACAGGGTTTCTGTGTCAACCTACTTTTTAATAATTCAATTATAATAAATAAGCAGTTTTGTGTTCATATTTAAAACCATAACCAAACATTAAATCAAACACTGCCCTACAAATTAAAATAATTCTCTGAAGCGCAGTGAGCATGACCAATAAGCACACTTGCACATGTGCTGCATGATTTTATTTTGCATGCTTTAGAAAGTGCAGGACGACTACTAGGGACTGTAAATAAATTAGGACAAAAGCGCAAAAGAAATGACCTCGAACCACTCAGGAATGTCATCGCGAAATACCCATACTATGGATCCATCCATGGATACAATAATAACAGTCTGTCTGGTTGGTAAACGTGCCCAGACCTGCTGCACTCTAAAGTAGCCAATTAAGTGAGCCCCCCCTCCTCCCCATTCCCGTTCTAAGGAATGCATGGCATGAGAGTGAATCCAGCTCATCATGACAGCTGCAAAACGCAGATACCACGTCCTACTTTTCAAAAAGTTGTGCAGTTGAGACGTGCAAAGTGAGGTCACATATTATTGACTTGCTCAGGGGTAGTTACAGTCCAATCTAACAGGTTTATTTCACCAAACAACGCAGTAACACATTAACAGGCCTGCCCACTAGAAAAGCAATCCCTCCACAGGCCCGGGCACAACATATTTCTAGTGATGTTGTCGTCATTGTCACCTAATCTAAAAAAAAAAGTCAACTCGACTCTAAACTAAACCAACTCAAGCTACTAGTATAACTTTAGCACTCGGGTGAGTTTTACTAAATATGACTCACAGCTGGAAAAAAAATGCCCGCGTTCGTGCCAACAATGGGACTCTTTCTTACTTTGAACCCGGGAGATAAGTAATGAGGAAAACACCCTTTGAGAATAAATGATTAAATAATGAGTCGTCAGTGTAACTTTTAGTAACATTCAGCGATACTTACTAACACTTCAGCGAGCAACTTTAACGACGTTCCACTCACCTCTGCATCCTAAGTGACTCCTCTTCGTGTTCTGCCTGAACTTGGGAGCTGCGCTGTTTATTATCGCACACTGTCGACACTGGCACGACTTTATGAGGCATAATTTGGTGACAAATAACGGTTAACGACCAGGAAGTTTTCTCTGAGAAGGATGGGCCCGGTCACAGAGAAAGCCGGAAGGAGGGGGCTCCAGCCACTTAGACTTCCAGTTTCATTAACTCTTTCGCTCTCGGCGCGTTAATAGACGGAGTCAGGGTGGTTCTTCACTGTCACACACGCTGTCCCCTCCACTTATCTGCTGTACGAAAAGCCGGGAAATACACTTTGACAGTTAATGATCTATTATTGCTTGCGACATAAAGCCGATGGGAAACATTTGTTTGCAAATGTACAAAAATATAAACCGGAAACATCTGGCCTTCGCACAAGTCCTTAATGACTTAAAAGACAAAAGACCTATTTAATACTGAAGTCAATTTGATTTCAGTTTAACAGATAGGCGTTAAGCCAACAACAACAGACCACCTTGTTGTAATTTACTAACACACAATCAGAGCTAAATGGATAAAAGCATACGTACATAAGGTAGAAAACTAAGCTTTCAACCCAGCCCAGAGTAATAAAATTAAAATTAATGACGACATTTACAGTTTCAGGGTCTAGTACAAGGTTTAGGTTGATTTTTTTCTTAACAGACTTGCCCAGTTAGGCATGGCAGTGTGATAATAAGCGTTCATGCGCATAATGTCCCTGGAGTTGAAGTATTTAAATGAAATTGCATTTTGCAGTTTCAGGTAGGTAGGTAGGTAGGTAGGTAGGTAGGTAGGTAGGTAGGTAGGTAGGTAGGTAGGTAGGTAGGTAGGTAGATAGATAGATAGATAGATAGATAGATAGATAGATAGATAGATAGATAGATAGATAGATAGATAGATAGATAGATAGATAGATAGATAGATAGATCTAGCCATCAATATCAGTCATTAGATCATTTATCTCCTCCTGTGGTCAGCTGGGATAAAAACAGGAGGAGATAGATGTCACTAATGTCAAGACACTAAACCTTCTCACAATGCACAGAGTGCTCCACCCTAATTCAAATGCCCTGAGGTTATATGAGCAGTGGAAAGAGAGAGGGCGTGGATTAGTGAGTGTGAGCCATAATCCCAGATGAAGCACGGAGAATTCACAAATACATCAGGAATATTTCCCCCTGAGATAAGCTGTTCCAAGATAAGCTGAAGACAGATGGTGATTAGGAACAGGAAGGGGAACTATAACAGAGGACCTGAATGGGATGTACCATCAACAGACAGAGGAAATGGTTGAAATCAAAAATGGCTGGAAAAGGACATCTTAAAGGACAACACAGAAGTCTGATCATGTCAGAACAAGAACAGGGCCCATGCCCCAGATCCATACACACAGAAGCCAACGGGACCCAATTTGCAGACTGTGCAAAGGTGCCCCAGAACCACACACACTGATAGGCACAGCCAAGTAGCTGGGATAGTGTACAGAAACATCTGTGCTGTATATGGAGTAGACGTCCCCAATTTCCAATATGAAACACCATTAAAGATGGTAGAGAACAACAGGGTTAAGGTCCTGTGGACAGACAACAACTCCTAGCCAGCAACCAGACATAGTGGTGGTTGACAAGGAGCAAAAGACAACAGTTGTGATAGGGCCTGCAATCCCAAGGGACAGCAACATCAAGAACAGGGGGCACGAGAAAACAGAGAAGTATCAGGGGCTGAAGGAACGAGTGGAGCAGACGTGGAAGGTTAAGTCCAAAGTGGTCCCAGTGTCACAGTGTAAGAGCTGTAACCCCAAATCAGAAGAGTGGCTTCAGCAGATTTCAGGATCTCGGTCTGGAGTCTCAAACTACCAGCATGTGTATGTGTGTGTGTACTATTAATAATAATCAACGCACAAAGTCATTTTCAAAGACAAGGCCTACCTGTGTAACTGTTACCTGTGTAACTTGCCCTTTTTTATCTTCAGCATACACAGTAGTTTGTATGAGTCATTCCAATCTCAAACAGATTAAAAATTATCTATAAAAATGCAAATGATTTGTTGTTTTACAACCAGTGAGATTATTAAACGTCAGAGACACAGCCCTGTTTCAAGTCCTGATAATCAATGACTTTTACTTCTTTGTAAATTTACCACTTACTGGCAGTCACGCCTTTTTAGCCCTTTGGACTGGGAAATGCAACCCTGAAGATTTATCCTGCCCACACTGGTGAGGTAGATGGTCTTTGACTATTTATTTAGTCATTCGTCTGTATAATTGTGTATGTGCAATATGTCACTGATATGTTCAAAGATAAAAGATGAAAAAAACAAAGGGTTTCACGTTGCTCTGCTTCATTGTTTCAGTGGTCCCCCTGTCTCAGCTTACTAGAATGAGGACTGAAGCAGTCACTGCATTGTTCCTTTGTCATTCTGGGCTCCTGGGAAACATTCTTCCTCCTAAGCTTTTGTCTGGTTCCTCTGCTTCATCAAATACACACTCACACAATGCAAGGACAGAAATATATGTGAACAAATTGGGACTTAACCTGGTGGTCTGAATTAATCCCTTATCACTGCCAGTGTGTAATCAAATATGATGGCAGAGAAATATCACTGTAAACTGTACTAATTTATACGGCTACGTAGGCTTGAGTGTAGCAAATGAACCACACTGGCTTAGACATAGCTCTAGTATAAATACCAGTATTTTAATTTTTCCCATCAAGTAAAGCCATCCAAATCTACTGTTGATCTTAGTTTAATGGTCCTTGTCCACTAAATATTTCAAAGCAGGTAACTGAGTTCCCTCATCATTATCTTTTAATGTCTCACATTACAAAATGGCTTTACCCAACCAACCCTTGGTGGATTACAGTAAAGGCTTTAAGTGAGGCAGTGCATCTAGCCCAAGGAGGGCGTCTTTATTTGTGCTGTGTCATGCAACTATGGTACAAAGTTTTGAGTCATCATGAGTAAGAGGAGGAAATAGCATCATGAGGAACTGTCACAGCTGAGACTTGAGTTAACGTGTCTGACAGGGAGTGCAGAGCTGGATGATAGCTGCCCAAAATGCCATCAATAGATCAGTAAAATGCCAAGGTTATGGCAGATTTTATTGCGGGCACTGTTTGAGTTACAGTGGACGCTGCCTCATGGAAAAGGGTGGGGGGTTTTCTCAGTGACACTTTTACTGTAACAATGGAGACTCACTACAATATTATTAGCATACTTTTCTCTGATCTTTATGGATCCTTTCATTTCCTTTTATTCCCACCTTTATAGTGCAGGCAGCCATATTATTCTTTGTGCTGAGCAGTGGAGCTTTGCAATTTATTGAGAGACCAACCCTCCTTCTCCCATCATCAACATGTCTTTTTTCTCCCCAGATTGTACTCTGGCGTTCATTGATATTCTGATGGATGCAACTAGTCACATATATATTTTAGACACCATCTTTATTTCATTTCAGTGAGCACTTTCCTTTTCACAAAAAAATACACGCTCACACATCACAGCTCAGCGATCTTTTTCTTTGTTGTTGTTGGCATTGCTCAGATATTTTATGTTTACTGCACAGTATAAAACATCAGAAGAGGTGCTACATATGCTTTGACAGAACAGTGTAAATGTGCGAGATGAAAAATGACTATCAAACATAGATTCTAAAATTTTTAAATTCAGTTCAAGTCTTTTTAAGTTGGTTTTTTTTTTAATGCTAAGTCACATTGACAAGGCATCACAAATGGCAGAACTGAATGAGACAAGAGCCACTTACACGGTTACGAAATATGAAACTTTGTTTTTTTACATTTTGTCATCAAGTGCTCTGTATAATACAAACAGTCATTTCCCTCACTAGTCAAAAAAAAAAAGAAAAAGAAAAAAAAACCCCAAACATTTCAGTTAGTTACCTCCTGGTGTACACACAAGAATAGAAAAATATATAGCTCGAGTCGTTCATAGTCATCTTAATTCTGGCGTTGGGGGAGGGGCGCTTACTGTCCTCAAAGATGCTAAAACTTCCCCAAAAAACAGGAAACTTGTTAAAAAACAACAACAAAAAAACAACATTTTCCTTGTTACAAAGTGCAAGCTGCCCTGTAAAGGCTCATTTTAAGATAAAAAAAAAAAAAAAATCACCATCCCATGTTTGCGTGCACATGGATGACAAATGTCCATGTTGTACATTGTCATGAAGTGAATGACTGGTATTGGTAGAACTCTGATAACATCACACATTGGTGACCTCGATGCTGGTGTAACCACGGATGGGACTTCCTTCTGCCCTGGGCGGAGTGTGATCTCGAACCTCTCTAGGCAGGGAGCCATAGCTGCTATGGCAACTCAAGTCCCGCCCATTGCGAGCTTTGGGACTAAATCCTGCTGGAGGCTAGAACAGAAACAATGTATCCATTACTACAAATGACAAACAATGTATAAAGATGAATGCAGCTTCTGGGTCTGAAAAGTGAAATTGGGGTGTAACTTGATATAGCATGATGCCTGTTTTGCACATTTTTGCCCGATTTAGAGTCAATTAGCCTTAGGGCTTAGCTACTTCATGACTGACAACTTGCTGCAATAGGGGCAAAGCAGTGTCTGGGGTTTCTCATTCAGATCCACACCTTGTTGATGATGTCATGATGTCAGGGTTAAAAATAAATCCAAGACAGCAACAGCCAAAATGCTCAGGTGGAGGGTTCGTACAGGTATCCACCTTTTATGTACAGTCTATACTTTCTCATTAGTTGTGGTCCCCCTGATGACATATCTTATACTTACAGTTAATTTAATAATCAATAATTGATTTAGTTAATCAATCAAACCTCTCTATCTTCCTTCTTATTTACATGTCTTGCAGGCTGCTCTAGCAATATATTCAATACCCAAGTAATGCTGCAGAGCTTCATTATCGTCACTGTGTAATTTGTCAACACTAAGCTCTTCTGCGCTACAATTTGGCTAAAATTGATGGAAGAACTTTTTCCCCACCTTCACAGCCCTCCTTCTCAATGAGCCTTCTTCATCGGTGTGCCGGGCAGTAGAGGTGGGAGGTCTACCCAAAGAGTTCTGACGAAGGAGGACAGGTGGTGTCCCCAGACCTAAATGCTCGTATTCCTGTTTGGCATCCACGCTGCAGAAAGCATGGGGAAAGATCAGTGTGACGGGGGAAGCCAAAATAGTAATTAAAGACAGTAGAAAACACATCCCTGTGAATTTTCCTGTCACCTGGCTTGGCCAATTAGTGTTTTCATCTCTTCCACAAGGTGTCGGCGAACCATGTGTTTGCTGCTGGAGATTCCTAGCACCGTTGCCATCGTGTCAGTGTTGAAAGTGGGGTCTAGCACCATGACAGCCCCATGAACACCACTGTTTAGGAGACTCTCAGCAAACTCCTGCATAGGCAGAAAAAGGCAAGTACAGAATAGTAATCTTATTTGTTCATAACATCAGATCTAAAATTCTTGGTTGAGTCAAAGAGGATATTGATATTGATTTTTTTGTCTATATCAGTAGAAGTTCCAGCTCCCTGAGGAGTTTAACCGGACGTCATCCAGACATGTTTATCTGTACACACCTGGAGTGTGATGGGACAAAGGCTGTAATCTGGCAGGTGTTGTAATCAACTGGTAGCAGTTCAAAAGTAAATGGCAAAGACCTGCTATCACTTTGTGGAGGTATGGAGCACAGAACAAACAGTCTTTATGTGGTAGTGCGTTTATACAACACAAAACAGTATTGTTACAGCCCCAGCAGGCCTGCTATGTTTTATTGTCTGAGAGTCCTACTGTTTGCTTCCTTGAATCAGGTGCCTCCCCCTTTCTGCTGTGGGGCCGGTTAGATATGCACTCAGCTGACTCAGCTTAGCAATTATAACTGAGAGTATAAAAGCTGAGGGGAGCCACAACTAAGCACCAGTGGTTCACCTGTGTACACAGGGTTGTCTTTGATTTATTGATTGATTAAACGCCTTTCTTTGCCCACCAAAGGCTTTGCTTTTCTCTCGTTTGTATTTTGTGTCCTTGACAGAAACAGCACTTTACCCATCTCTTTAAAGTTTTTAGTATAATCTTGTTTTGCCTCATTCCAGAGAAGAAATGCAGTACAAATACCCAGTTAAGATACTGAAGTGGAATTTTCAGGTGTCATTACATAACTTGAATCTTTATTTTTCCTCACCACTTTTTACTTTTATTCACTACATTTTTACACAAATACCTCTACTTGCTGCATCGTACATTTTCGTAACAGCCTTATAGGTTCAAGACATTTGAAGGCTGTTACTATTCCACATCACTGCGCATCTTCCAGATTTAAACCAATTTGAGGCTAAATTGAGGAAACAATAACACATAAAAAGGCCATTTTATTGGTCTATCCATCACTGGTGCTTATCACACACGACAAGTGGTACAAACCTATGCATCATTTATCACTTTATATTCAGAGGTTACCTAAGCACTTTTATTTTACATTCAGATGGATGGATCGGGTGTGTGTGGGGTGGGGTGGTAACTTGGGGTTCAGTATCTTCCCAAGGATGCTTTGAACTGGGGAGGATCAGTCAGCCCACCATCCAATTGGTAGACAATTTATACAATTTATTTCATAGTGGTTATTTTCTCGTACACTACCACAACAGCTGATATTAGGGTTCTTTTGCCTGCCAAATCCCACTTTAACCCCTGACTATATTCATTTTCCTGTTTAGATGTGCAGGCCAACTCACCAATCTACAATGTGGGCAGCAGCATATGTTTTTTTCGCTGTTTATGTTCAACATACCAGATGTAATCTAACAAGTACGTTCCATAATATGACATGAGGTTGTGTTTCCTCTGCATAAAAATAGATGGTAGATATGTGCTCGAAAGAGCTACTTTTAAACCTTAATGAACTTTTATCAGCGTATTTTTAACACAAATATCTGGAAATTAACTATCACATACCCAGGACATTCTGAGATTCAGACCCAGAACCTCTCTGATTTGTTATGGCGTAACGGTAAACTCTTTAACTTTGCTAAAACTATACTTTTGTTTGCATACAAGTTTGACCTGTTAACCTATTGGCTGACATGTGTTCAAGAATTTTAAGATGAACTTTCTCTCACCTTGAGGTCAATATCTCTGATCCATTTCATGACCCGATGCATGGTCCATACCAGAGGATCCACATTGTGGTGCTCGCACTGTATCCGGCGAGCCTGTAATACCTGAAAACCATTTTAACAAGAACTTTTCCAGATCTGATCTATTTTCACCTTTACTGTGAACATCCCAAGGTACAAAGGAGTGACAAAACTAAAAGACTGAAAATCTAGACCTTTCACCCCTACAGTAAGGAGATACAGTGGCTCGTGCTGTGGTGGGGCACGCAGTTTGCATTTACTTATCCTTTTAGGTGGAAGGATCACTGCCAATCAATAAAAGGTCAACTCAAAAGTAAAATCAATGTCAAGCCCCAACACCTTACTATAACCCCTCATTGTTATTTGTTTTTCTTTAATTTGTCACCCATCAGTGTACTCACCTCCTTGTCAAAATGAAGCAACTGCAGCAGTTCGATGCCTAGCAGCAAGCTGACCTGATGGAACTTCTTGGTGATGTTTAAGTGACGTTCGAGGTCCCGACGTGTCAAAGAGTTCAGGACCCGCCCATCTATCAAGTGATTGTGAAATGCCTGGGAGTACTGAGGCAAACCCACATCGCTTAACCAGGCTTTTGCCACCCAGTGGTGGTCCATATCCGCAGCCTTGGACAGCCTAGAGACAGACAGCATGAAGAGTTCCTTTACCTAAGAAATCACATTTTTATCATCACGTGTGGGATTTAGCCACAAAGAGTTTGAATTGTACTGACCAGCTTACACCCCCATTAGGCTGAAGTTCCTAACAAGCACTGAATGGATTGTTGCTAAATTCATATTGTATGGTATAATAATAATAAGTTTGCCATCTTTTGATTTTTCTTCTGATTTCATCATCAGGTTAAAAACTACCATACTAAAATAAGACTGTGAACATGCTTCACCACATACCTGATAAACAGTAGCATGTTACTTTTGCTAATGTGGACACATTATGTAGCTTATGTAGCTTTAAGAACTACTGAGCTGAACTCAATTATTTTTATTCAATTCATATAGCACCATATCACAACAGCAGTTGCCTCAAGGCGCCTTATACTGTATGATAAAGACCCTACAATAAAAGAAAGAAAACCTTAACAATCAGATGACCCCCTATGAGCCAGAACTTTGCAACGCTGGGAAGGAAAAACTCCCTTTTAATAGGGAAAAATCTCCAGCAGAAGTGGGCTCAGGAAGGTGCAGCCGTCTGCCATGACCGGTTGGGGGTGAGAAGAAAAGAAGAGAGCAGACTGAAATAGGATAAAAAAAAAAAAACACACTGTAGAAGAGCACCAGAGATTAACTATGACTAATAATGCATTGAAGCCCATCTACATCAGCAGGGAGTGTGTGAAGAGGGTGCTCAGCTTCAAGTTCCTGTGTGTGCACATGGATGCAGACCTCCAGTGCTCCAGCTTGGAGGTTATGAAAAAGGCCCAGCAGCATCTCACTTACTGAGGAGCCTCAGGAGGACTACCCTAAAGAGGGAGCTGCTGCTAACTGTCTTCTACCGCTACTCCACTGAGAGTGCGCTGACATATTGCATCTCTGTGTGGGTCTCGAGCTGCACCATAGCACACAGGAAAGCACTACAAAGGGTCATTAACGTCACGAGAAAAATCACTGGCCGCCCTCTTCCCTCCCTGAAGGACCTCTGCAGCACATGCTGTCTCAAAAGGGCACACATGATCTTGCGGCACTGCAATGCAAATACCTGACACCGGGCCTTGTGCAATACACAGTGCACACACTGTATATTTCATTCTGCATATATGTTACTATGTATATATTGTGATTGCTGCTTGCCTTTCATTTAGCACCAATGCAGGACAGTAGTCCAATTTTGTTGTACTATTGTAGAAAGTAAAACTGTGCAATGACAATAAAATCATCTACTCAAACTGTAGCTATTATTTTAAAAAAGAAGCTGAAATTGTTCACAACTGCTATTAACAAATCAGGTAGCTGTGCCATTATTATTGTTATTTATTCTATTATTCTATTTTACTCTTTTAATTTTGATTGTACTTTTTATCTTACAAAGCATGCTGAACAATTGTGTAATGCCACATAAATAAACTTGCCTTGGCTTTCATCAAAAATTGACTGATCAATCAATCAATCAATCAATCAATCAGTTGGATTAGATTATTGGATAATGATAACCACATGCAGCCCTAAATATCACATATGTAAAGGAACTCACTGCAGAAAGTTTTTGAAGGGATTATTTCTTTGCTATAAAGCAGTTTCACAGAGAATTCTTCAAACTTTGCACTTGAAGGCCAGAGTGAGGGGGGAAACTGACTCGAGAAAGTCATGCTGCTGCTAAATTTTTCAAATGCAATTCTTCAGTGCTTTAGGGTTACTGAACTGAATATTTCAAAACCCAGACACCTTGATCTTAAATCTGCTACTTGGCTAAACTGCCATACAGTGTAACTATTGGTTAAAACAAATAAGCTTATACTTGCCACATATGTGTTTATGATTCATACAGGAACAATTTAGACAGTCTTCAGTTTAGCTGACCTGCATGCCTTTCATGCCCTTAGGAAGCTTTCAAGAGCTGTAACAGCCTTGGGACTCTTGCATTTGTTTAAACTTCATGTGTGGTAAAAAAGCCAGAAACGAGATCCTTCATGCATTAGGTAAATGCATGTACAATAAATCACCGACAGGTGGCCCCCATACGCCATCAAGTAACAGGCAGTTTACAATAAGGACCACTATGGCCCTTCCTTACCCTCTGCCGTTCTCAACATCTCTGTAATCTTCAATGGCCAGGCGGAGTTTCCGACGATGCATCAAATTGCTGACACCTAGACCCAGCTCCAGGTCTTCATCCGTTAACCCCAGTAAAACCTGCAAAAAAAAGCAAAGAAAAAACACTTCACAGGAGGTTAAGCCATTCAGGCCGAGAGTGCTATAAAGTAAACAACATGGAAGCATGTAGAAACCTGCAGGTGTTGCCATACCTTGCCGCTTTTGACGTTTTCTGAGCAGGTGCGGATGTACATGGGCATCGCCATGACAACCTCCAGCCAGGCCTGCACGGTGCCTGCCCTCCACAGAGACATGGGCGTTGTCCTGGCCAGCTCCACCTGCTGCAGACGGTCGAGCTGGTCCTCTGACCCGTCTGACAGGCTGAGGCGAGTAGGGCTGGAGAGGCTATCCGAGTCTGGGTGGGTGGGTAGACAAATGGGTGATGCGGTTGTGGTTGTGCGTGAAAGCAGAGGTGAGCATTGTGAGCAATGAAAAATAAAATAAAAACAACAACAACGTTAATGTGCTGCAACAACAACAATATATACATATAGTTTCATATCAAATCAGCCCATTTAAGGGGAAGAGGGAACAAACAAGCTTTTAACGACATCCTAAGCTTTTGGCTGCATGACAGCAAGCCAAGCGTTTGCCAGTAATGCTGTAAACAAAGTTGCAGCTTTTATAAACAAGCTCCTCACTTAAGAAGTCCATTAAACCAGCAGCTGTTTGAGCTGTTGAATTAACATGACTCATCTGTCTAAATTAGCCCGCAGCTAACAGCTCTGTGGAAATATTAAAACATGCAATTAGGAGATGCATGAGAAATGTCGATGCATTAAAAGCACGTCTCTCTCACAATGTTATAATCGACTGTGAGTAAATCCTGACACTTTGAGCACTGCCTGAATAATTCCCCGCGGTGTTTCAATGTTACCACGCTAAACTGAGCCAAATATTTTGCCTTTTTTTTAAAAAAATTTTTTGTTAAATTTAAGTTCTCAGTATTTCACAAGTGGTGGAGTCACAAACGAAAAGAAATATTGGCCGAGAACATGTTTTGTTTCATTGTAAAAATGTGAAAGCCATTTAACTAACCCCCGACCAGCGGATGGCAACCTGGTATCAGGTTTGGACTCAGATGTTGGTACAGCATCATGAAATGCTCATCAAGAACTTACTGCAGCACTTACTGTGTTTTTCTCCCTTTTTAAAATCTTGTGATACAAATGAAATACTTCAAAGTATCCTGTCTTATTCCATAGTTTCTGAAAACCTCAACATTACCCTCAGCACTCAGAATACAGCCATACTTACAGGCTTACCCAGTGAGTGAATGAATGAACTTCAACCAAAACTCCTGTGACCCTAATAAGCCTTGCACAGAAGCATCCACCTGACAGCTCCGTGGTAACATGACTGTTCTCCTTGATGGTCACTCCAATCATCACATCCATGGTTGCTTTTTTATGTTTGTTTGTTTTTTAAAAGGAAAAGAAAGTTCAAGATTCTTTTTACAAACTACACAAAAACAGGTTCTTTGTTCCCTCCACCTAAGTGTCACTTCTAGCAAATAACATGGAAACCCTACTTTTTGGCAGCCTTTACTATGCCCATTGTGTGTTTACTCAAAGGAGATTCACGACTGGATGGTTCGAGGGTCTGAGTAAACTGATTTTTATTAAACCCGCCTTCGGTAATTCATCTCAACCTGGATGCTTTTATGTGCTCTCCGAAGAGAGATGCATGAAGCGACCGTACACTTCTAAGTGCCCTTCTGAGAGCAATTCATATTAAGTTGAATAGATCTGCTCTTTTGGTCAAAGATGCATGCTGGTCTGTGTACAAGGTCTGTTTTTCCTTCCGAACAGAGTCCTAATAAAGGAAATATCAGTGAAAGCAGAGCTAGCTACGGTGTGGTATTTATGTAAAGAGTTTTGTGTCCTTTATGAGAGGAGGTAAGTTTTATATGTTTTATAAAAACCAAAGTGAATTGTTTGCTTTTCCTTTAACTACACTTCAGACGAGACACCGAGCCTTAAGTGTGCTCTTCAGTAGCTCATTTAATAGACCTTATTGCTATAATATAGCAGCATTTCTGATGCCATGACTGGGAAAAACAAATGGATTACAGCTGAATGGATGACATCACCCATGGTGGCTCTTCGCTGCTTCGAGGGAGGATAAATAGAGTAGATAAACTACAAGGCCCCTTTAAGTAACAGTTTGGCATTTTGATTAATACGATTATTTGCTATCTTGAGAGGCAGATGAGGAAATCAATGCTCATGTCTGAATGATAAATATGGAGGTACATACAGTCTGTTTCCTGTCTTCCAGTTAATCAAGGAGTAGCTTCAGCTTGAATTCATTAAAAGAATATTAAAGAAGTCATTTAATGTTTGGCAAATATGCTTATGCTTTACTGTCGTGCATCAGACGAGAAGGCTTATAAATAAGCTTGTATGGTAAATCCATAAAGTCACAGCCAGTCTTCTTATAGTCCATGCAAAGCTATGATGAGCACCCCTGCTTGTAGATTTATTTTAAGCATTTTAGCAGTGCATTTCCCCCAAACTATACTTCAGCACAAAATTAAAAGCAGCCAGTGTTTCTGAGCCAGTGACGCTGAGTATGGAGCTTTACTGTTGGAGTATACAGGAAATAAAAGAAAAAAGCCCTCAAATGCATTTTAGTGTATCTGTTAGCACTCAACTGTTTCCAAATCCCTGTCATTAGAGCTAAATTCAACTTGAAGAAGTGCTTAACTCCAAAGGTGTTTTTTTTTTGTGATGTTAGGAATTAAAAGACATCTGCAAACACAGTTTGCAACCCAGCACGACTCATTTTTAAAGCCACAGGAACTGGTGCACCTCGGTCCCATTGAGTCTGACTGATCGCTTCTTGGGTCGCCTCACTGTGTCGACAGTCTGATGGAGGTCAGACAAGAGGGGTCAGTGTTAGAGGTCAGGAGTCATATCAGAGCAAAACATTATTGATGCCATGTGCTGACACATATGAGATCAGATTCAACAATATGACATGGCCACATCTCCTCTGCACCAATGTTTTGTTTTTCTCTAATTATTGATTCTAATATAATACAAGAGGAAAATTTCATTTTGGCTTAGTAAGGAGTTGAAATTGGAAAAGAGAGGAAAGGAGGCCATTGGGAAGCTTTTGGGATGCAGTCCTCTCACAGATGGGAGTTGCAGGGCTGAGGGAAACTAAGGCACATGTTAAAAATGGTAAGTCCCCTCCAGCATAACAGGACAAATCTGGATTAGAGCCATATCACAACAAATGAACACGCACACACACGAATATTAATGAAGGGAAAGAGAGGAGAGCCACGTGGAAATTAAGCATTACTTATTTTATTTTAAAATAATCTTATTTTTTCTCATTTAGTTATTTAGAGCGTAACTTTGTTGCCATGCCTTTAAAAGGTTGCTACGATCCACTTCTAAACATCTCAGGGCTTCAGAATAGAAGTCCTCCACCGAGGCCTACATCTTTGACTTTAAATAAAACTCTTTAATAATAATAATAGTATTCATTTCATTTCTGCAATGTTATCTCATTTACAAAAAGTAAAATATACGTGGGAAATAAAAAAAAAAACAAAAAAAACAAAAACAGAGCACGGATCAAAAGATAAAATTACATAATGTTTTTTTCTCTTGATATGTTGTTTCCCCATCAGCAGAGGATCATAAAATTAGCTGAATGAAACAAAAAAGATAAAATAGCATAGATTTTATACATTTAACTGACTGTTCAGTGAATTTTTTCAACATGAGACGTTGTTCCTGTACATACAATTTGATTCATAGTGACTCATCTCTGAATTATCTTACTGATTTACCTGCAAATTCAATAACTGTGAACTCAAATGTAAAGGACGATCTCCTTACTGGATACGTGGACACGCCACGGTAACCTGGCACTCTAGTGTCTCAGGCGAGGCCAACAAATACCCAGTGTTAGTTTAATATCAGGGAGAGAAAAGATTTCCTGGGGCGTGGCAGTGCAGACTCCGACTCGATCCAATGAAAGATCAGAAGTATCGTGATGTCTGTGGAAATTCTTTTGCTCGGATTAATGCCATTAACCTTTAGTCCAAAGTTAATTGCTTTATTTTTTCCTTTTCCCAGCTATGGCTTGAACTCTATATTGGAATTTTTGCTGAGGTCATGGGGTCATGGGAGAAGGTACGCCTTGATTGGGATGCTTAAATCCTGATTTTTAACCTTCAATTGTAGTTCATGTAATTTCTGCACCTCTTAATTGAGGTTCTGCTCATCTCTTAAGTCGCCCTTAATTCCAGAGGTCTAGAAATATGTTGACTGTCAGTTGAACACCTGCAACGCAAGAATAATTGGTGTTTATGCTATGTATTTTGTGATGATAGCTTTCTTATTTTAACATTTCCCAGAATAATCCTGCTCCCAGTATTCATACACCAATGAATACAAGCAGCTTAGATCCTAAAAAACAAAGAGAGATAAAAAGGCACAAAGCCTTGCAAATAGTGTGGAATAATATTTAAAAATTCAAAGTGTAATGTTCAGTTTTCTTTCTTTGCTGACCTTTGATATTTCAAATGTAATTTCGCATAAAAAGCCCTGCAGGTGCAGATTAAAACGAAACTGTGCGCAGTTCAGGATGTTAAGATCTTAAGCATTCAGCTGAGCGCTCCTTGAACAGCAAAGGTTCAAGTTTACAAATCTTATCAATTAATTTGAAATGGGGGCAAAATCATGAATGAACATGAAATCAGTAACTAACCTCTCTTTTAAATTAAAAAGAAAAGCAAACAGTTTATCACCTCTTCGGAAACATAACCAGGGAGAGATTTTTCTTTGTAGTGGGGTAACCAGGCATGCATGATTTAGGGACCGGGGCTACGTGCATGCATGTCACACATGTACCTTCTATCTGAGGAGATAGAAAACACATTTCTCACATTTCCTGTTTGGCTTCAAAATGCAGGGGAACAAACTGTTCTGCATAGAAAGTTAATTCCTCTCATAGCAGCTTCTTTGAAGTCTCTCTAAGTAAACATCAAGGATTGCCTCTGCACAGACTTTTTTTTTTTTTCGGCGGTTGAGGGATATGCACCCGACAACCGACCCAGCGGTGAATTTCAGGAGTCTGCATGCCGCCTACAGGAAACTGTTCTCATTATGGCAGTGTGGAAGAAGGGGATGGACCAGGCAGGACAATAAACAGGGAGGAGATAAAGTTAAGAGGCAGTGGGAGGGAGGGAGGAGGGACGGCAGGGAGTACGTGTCAAAAATAACAAAAAGGCATTCAGGACAAGGAGACATTTACACGCACAGAGTGCACATCAACTGTTATTTACAAGTACAGCAGTCCTTCAAGTTTCCAGTTGAGTGAAAACAATAAAAAAAAAAAGTAAAAATGTAGAGAACAATTCAAAGATCAGATAACACAGCTGTTTTGGAGGGCAGATACAACATGACATGTCCACACTGCTGCTGTATTACACTCTCCACGCTATTTACAGGGCTGTACATATACATACATACATACAGGTGCAATTTGCTCTTTAGGTTTACACTTCAGCGAAGCAAGACGCGCCTCCGGCTCCTGACATGGCCGTTGACCATGGGTGGCACAAGCACGCGCACACTCTCGCTCCCATACAAACCGAAGCATGCGTGCATGTGAGACTACATAAAAGGTACACACATTATTTTATCTGTACACGCTTTCGTCAGACACACACACACACACAGACGCGCACGCAAACACGCACATTCTCTCACGCATGCGCTCGGGCAATACAACGTTGTCCTCTGATAACTGCCAAAAAAAGGCTCTCCAGGTGGTTCACTCGGACGTGTGTGCTTTACCAGTCTGCATCCTCCTCTATGTAATAATCAGGTGTTGAAGTACCATCAAACAAACCGGGGTCGAGGGACTTGCGTTGCTTTCCTCGGGCGAAGACGCGCGACAGAGACCCCAGCCCCATCTTTTCTTTCTTCTTCTTACGCTTCGCCTCCTCCAGATCTTCTAGGGACTGAAAGAAGAAAGAGAAGGAGAGAGAGAGGGAGGGAGAAGGAGGAGATGAAGAGATGGGAGAAAGATGAGAGACCAGAGAAGTCGGTGAAGTAAGGGTGCAGAGTGAGCGATAAAGACCACAAGATAAAGATCACAACACACAGTGACACTTGACATGGTGCCAAGGCATGCACTTATTCAAACAACCACAGCTGGTTTTCACATAAATTCAAGTCACTGCTGCGAGTGAGTGCACAACAGACTGCGTGGTGGGGGGGGAGGACGACATGGATTCAGCCAGAACGATGGTGGAAGGAAACAACAGCAGCCGGGCAGCAAAGGGCAAGTCAACAGTTACTACAGTGTGGCGACTACTTGGGAGGGTGCGGTGTTGGGCAGCTCTTACATTGCAGAGGGAGTGAGTCCGATGGCGCGGCGAGTTGATGTCGCTGGGTGTGGACGACCGGTCTCCCTCCAGCGCAGAGGCGTCGGAGATGATGGAGGGCTGGCGCGAGTGGCACGGGCTCACCCGCACGGCAGCCACTAAACGGGGCGAGAGGGAAAAGAGAAGAGGCTTGTTTCTTTCTTGGGTGTTTGGGTGTACCAGAAGTAGAGAACAGGGACAAAAAAAAAATCTGTTTTCTTTAAAATAACGCCACGATGCCTTTAATTAAAAATGTCTTTTTGAAAAAGAAAAAAGAAAAAAAAAGGTCTGTAACCAAAAAGCCTGAAATTATTTGCAATCAGCTGCAGTTGCTAAGCAACAGTGAAAACAGCTTCACAGAGGTTTGAGAAAGTGTGTGTGCGTGCAGCGGTGAGACTGATACATACAGTGCAACCAATTGCATAGCAATTTAGGGTTCGTGACTGTTCACACATTTTTCCTGTTTTTCTTTTTTTATTTGGGGGGAGGGGAATGTTTGCTTCTGTCCCCAATTAGTCAGCAACCTATGTGAACCCTATAACTGCCCTTTAAAAGCAACCTCTGAAAGGACTGAGATGGACTCCAACTCTGGTGGCTATGAGGCTAATTTGTCCAGAGCTTTCTATTTTAGGGTAGCAGGAGGTGACACTGCTACACTTCCCTTCTTTTCATTGCTTTTTTCTTGCTTTTAAATTTAGCAGAGCCTCTCAAACTGATGGCTCACGTTTCTTCTACAACTCCCATAATGATAGAACTTCTGTATTACAACCCCCCCCAAAAAAACTTGCCTATTTTTTGTTACATGCTATTTGGCCTACATATTTTGCTTAGATAACGCATATCATTGCAACCCTTCGTGCAGACATCTGCACTGAAACACATGAGGATGAGCACTGAGTGCCAGCTGAATTTACCAGACCATCTCGTTTTGCAGAAGGGTTTTCGGCACTGTGCTGGCCGCTTTGCTAAAAACACACCACTGTTTTCTAGCGGTGACACAATTCAAAGTGAGTGAGCCAAACAAGAAAAGACATTTGCTTTGAATTTTTAAAAATGTGGTTCTGCAATGCGTCTCAGCCATGAACGTCTCCGCGCAGAGCGGGAGCTGTGACAGGAGAGGCTGTTTCTTCTCTATCTCGTGAGGTGTGTGTAACTCAAATCAAAAGGATACTGCGGAAAATGTTGTGAGGGAGCTGAAAAGTAGAAAAGGAGGCCAAGAAAAATTAGGTACGAACAAGAAATGAAAAAATGTAAATGAAATTAAAAAACGGGGCCAAGTTACTGTTTGAATTCCATAAAACTAAAGCAAACCTCAAACAAAAAGGTTCTTAACACACAGCTGATCCTCAGCTGCCATAGCTGTCAAGTGCAGAGAAAACATTTGTGTGCAGCAAAGACACATAGAAGCTGTAAAGCCCCCCCAAAAACAAGAAATCTGCACTTGAAATCATACAGAAAGCGCATGACACGTCACAACTGGAACGTCGTCGTCGGGCAACAATGTGGTCATACTAAGCAGATGGTAGGAGTGAATGTGTGTGAAGCAGGTTCACATGAGCATGCAAAGGGTAAATGATGGTCAAACCGCCTCATGTCAGTCAGCTCATGTGCAGGATGAAGGTGTTATTGGTGCTCCTTGCTGGCTTACCTTGCCTGTCAGCGGGATGCCCCGTGTGGACATAGAGGGTCTGCTGACTCTGTCGGATGGCAGCAGTCAGAGGGAGATCGGCCTGCATCACCCACTCCTGGTTGTTTCCATTGACAACCGCCTCCGTGGGCATGGCCAGCGAGTGGCGCTTGGGCACATCCTTGGTCAGGGTGGCTAGCGACTGTTTCGCCTTGAGGAGGCAGACGGAAAGAAGTCATCAGTCAGAGAGCACAGTGAGCCACAATCAAAATTCTTCACTTCAGCAAACTCACTTTTGAGTGGGCTGGTAAATCTCTATTTTTCCCCCCGTGTGTGTGTGTGTACATATACATGTTGTGCTCAGATTTCTACTACAAGTCTCTAAGCGCATGCAGATATGCGAGTTCTCCCCTGGGCTCGTTATGTGGCGCTTGTCTCATTAAAAATGCAGTTATATTCTTGTTCTCCTTTTGTTTGTGAAATCTTTCGCTACCACTCCTGAGAGCTCTGACAGAATATCTGGAGGAGGTGCTGGTTGTTTGTATCCACGGCGGTGTAAGCTGGGGGTGTTGTTAGGGTGCAAAAAAAGAAAATAAAAAATGGAGACATTGAAAACAATTAAGCTTTTCTATAACTTTAATGAACATATTTGCTCTGTCGCTGCTTTTCTGCAGGAGTAACAATGAGCTGTACTGGAGCCTTGGACATTGTGTTTGTGCATGTTTATTTTGTGTCAATAAAACCTTTTTCTTTGTGTTCATGTTTTCTGATTATGCTTGACATGGTTTTTTTATTGCTTATTGTGCGAATCGTATCATCATGCCAAGCGGCGGCGGGCTGCAAATCACCAGCACAATCAACTCCACTGCAATCATCTCCGTCTACCAGCAGTCAAACGGTTATCAATCACAGTCTCTGTCATGCAAAACAGAATACAATCCCAAACCTTCAATGTAATCATTAGTTGTCAGACTACTGATGTTTTTGTTGCCTCCCCCAAGCATTTCAACGTTCAATTAGACCTGAAACACATTCCGATCGATTACAGTGGAAATCTGTGGGACCACTGATGTTAGGATTACTGGGATCAGTCAGGGTGGGCTGAGGGTTAGTTTAAAAAAAACAACAACTAAAAACACTAAATGAAAAACGTGCATCTGAGGAGCAGGAAGAGGCTTTCCAAAGCAACAAACAGGTCACAAATAGGAGAAAACTCCACAGGGGGCAGGAGTGGAAAGATTTAAATCTTGGGGCCTGTCTTACCGCCATGACCCTAGGAGAGTAGTCCCTGTCCACAAGGCGCTCAAACACCCGGAACTCCATTCTCTGATTGACACAGTTACTCATCTGGTGGGGGGGTTGGAGACATGAATGATGGCTATGCTGTACATTCAAAAGGCTTTCCGTGTTTCGATTAGATGCAGTTTAGGCAAAACAGTGCAGAGTGACCAAAGAGATGTACTGTATATCCCTGAACCAGGACTCAAACTATTTGTGCAATATCTTTGTTTCTTTGACTAGTCAGTCGACATTGTTATCTTAGAAGGAAAAAAAGGAACTCTAACATTAGAAATGTTCCTAAATATCTGATTCCAGAAAATGGAGCCTATAAAAAGCCAGTAATGCAGTGCTGACTCACTACCTGCCTGTCAAGTTCCCTCATTTGCCTTTCTCTCTCACCATGGCAAGTTCAGCCTCCAGCTCCTTGATGCGGTTCTCCTTGAGATCAAGCTGGGACCGCAGCATCCCCGTGTGCTCCGTGGCTTCCTTGGTCTGCCGCCGCAGGTCCCACTTTTCTCTCTCCAGGAGGTCTTTCTCTTTGGCCAGCGCCTTTACTGCATCCTCGCTCTCCTAGTAGACACACAGATCCTGATGGATTGGTTCACACATCAAGCACGACTAAACAGAACGATTCAAACAGAAAGGCAGTGGCTCTTTCTGTGCTGCCTTGTTAGGGCTTTCAATATTTCATTTGATTTTTTTTTTACCCTGAGATGACAGGAATAAAAAAAGTGCTTCTAGATGTTGGGCTTACTATGACATACGCACCAACATCTAAATCTAAATATCACAAAAACATTTGTTTTTAAACTGTAAACATCCTTTTTTGTAACCAACCGTCTTTTTAATTAAGCAGATTAGAGCATGCACTACAAAAAAACCAAACAAACAAGAAAAAGTGGGTCTGTATGGATGTGTGTGCCTCTATACTGTTAGAAAACGGGTGCCGTACTTTTCTGTGCTGCTCATAGTTGCGTATGAAGTCACGGAGCTGCTCCTCTCGGCTCTCCAATGTGGCATAAAGCTGCTGCATCTGATTCACCAGGTCTGCCTTCTCTGCTTTCAGACGCTTACGGTCCGACTTCATGGCTGGAAGACAGAGTTTGTGGAGGGTCAAATAACTTGAAGATTTACATACTTCTATTTAGTCATAATCTACAGTGTAGATGACTGCACTTCAGTGACAAACAATAGAGTTCAGAGGATTATTACCGTTTTATCTACAGTAAGTTATAAGTGGCTTTATGTCCATGTTCATGGACCTCCCCCATCCTACCAACGTGCATGTGGTGAAAACTGGAGGTGATCAAGAGCAGACAACATGATAAAGTAGGAGCTGGGGTAAATGTGGGTTGCAAAGAGGCTTCCAGATGTGTAGCAAATATAGACAGGCTAAAGCTGTTTAGCATCCGATAATGAGCCTATTATCTGAACTTTCAGCTGATATGGGTGGTGCTGGGATTGCAGACAAGCTTGACTTGAAAGACTTTAAGGTCTAATGCTGTTCTTAATGTTTTGACACAGCCATGAAGAATGTTGCACATTAAGAGGTGGACTTCATTAAGGAGTCTTCTTTAATCTAACTAACAAATCTTTTCCTGATTTGTTAGTTTGTTCCTGAAGCAAATAAAAATAAAAACACCTGTTGTTGCCACTGACTATACGTTGATAGAGAGGTGGATCAAGCATGAACCCTTATGTCAGTCTGCACTCTGTTGCTGGGTTTGTTAGAGACTGAGTCCCTTTTTTTTCCCTCTCCCCCCGTCTCTCTCTGCCACACACTCTTTCTAATCCTCTGGCAGCTCACCCACGCATCATGATAAAGAATATGGTTCACAGTGGTTATTCAGAGAAGCTCTAATTTTCTCAAAGACAAACATTTTTTGCTCTTCTGCATCTGCCTGTTCTCCTGCTTCCTCTTAATCTTTTTTTACCTCCTCGTGCAAGATTGTTTTTCAGAGGTGTTTAAAGTCGAGGTTCTCTCCAGCTATCATTTGAAACTGACAATACATCATTTATTTATATATTATTTATTCATATTGCATCTTTCTACTTTTGTCTTCTTCACATCAAACTGCTTTTCCTAAAAGCACAGTACTTCTCATCACGTGTTCATCTGCCTTTTTCTGCCCTCTTTTTTTCTCCCCTTCAGAACCAGCTGTGTGTCAGTAATGAACTTATATCACGGCTTGGTTAACTGTGTGACAGTCACAAGTTGTGTCTGGCGAACATGCTTGGGCAAGCGGAAATGAAGGACAGATTCAACCTCTGTTTTTTTTTTTTTCAACCGCCCTCGTCATCCTTTCATATCTCTCCCTTTCACTTGTTCTTACCAGAGGAATCCCCAAGCCAAAGGGATACGCAGACCACATTAGCTGGCGAATGAAGACAAAAAACATCCCTCACTGACCAAGAGAAACAGGAAACCTTCCAGCACCTGCCTCAGGAAGTGAAATCAAAGCCGTCTTTGAGATGAGCCAAAAACACTTCTGCTGCCTCACATCCTGCACCTGTGATCGTTTGGCAACAGCGACCCTCCTGGTGCTGGATGCAAGAAAGCACTCACTGTGACTCTTTGAATGGGTCCATTCACACTTGCAAATCATATTAGCACTGTTAGTTACTGCTTCTGACCTACCTATGAACATTTTTAACATACAATTGTGCTCCGGGGGCTCAGACTGTTACGTTACACGCACGAATGTAGGAGAGATGGGGAAGCACTCCTGCTGACAGACATATTAATGACTAACATACTCTGTTGCTCAGTTCAAGCCTCCAAGAATTATTACCAGCTGAAACAACCAGAGAACCACCTGGGAACCATACAGAATTGAAGCTAATGTGTGTGGAGGTGGAGGTGGAGGATGACACGGGAAGGAAGCAGTTTAAGAGACTTTTCATAAAGAAATGATACACATCTGTGCAAGCATCTGTCTTATTCGCTGACTGCTGCAAATGTACTTGAATAGCAGATAATTTGAATCCAATATCACTCAGGAAAAATTAATTCATGGGTTTGAGTTAAAAGTTCAACTTCTACATTGATTTCCCAATACCTTAGTATGCCTACTGTCCATCTACTTGATTTGCAAGGACATGCTAAACCTGCTAACGCATGTTATTCCAGCCCATTTTGCATTCTCAGTCTTCAAGTGCCCCCCATAAATGTTCAGCTGGGTTGTGGTTAGGTATCTGTGGACAGAAAGCCAACACTCCCTGGATTTCTCTGGTGATCAAGTAGTCCTTTCAAGGCTTTGAAATGTGTGGTCATTATCCTGCAGTAGTATGAACCCCTGCACACAAAAAGTGCAAGTCAGAGAGCATGTCTCTGAACCTGTCAAAGTGCAGTAGATTCAGTACAGGTGTCTGACTCCAGAGTAACAAAACATTCCCAGACTAAAATATACCCAGCAGTACCTTACATTGTTAGTCTGATGCATTGCATTATCTTCCCTCTTGTGTTTTGCTGCTTTCCTGGGGAAGTGGTTTAGATGCTGCTACAGGCCCACTATGAACACTACTACACAGCCTTCTTTTAGCAATTCAAACCTAAACCTTCAGTCTAGCTATGCTCTTAACACCGACAAAGCAACTTGTTGCCAAGAATAACATTTTTTTTTGTATTTAAAAGGCACCTAAATCCTTCGCACTGAAGAAAGATTTTTTTCTTTGGCCCACACTGCATTTTACAAATGTTTAGCACTTGCTTTGCAAATTGTTTGCCTAAAATCAAAAGAAATGTTTGCCTTTGTGAGAAAACTGTATTTGTGCAAAAAGAAATGTCAGCCTGTATAAGCAGAAAAGAAGCGAATCAGGACATCTGCAAAACATTCCCCTTAAAAAATCCAACCCAATGTGGAAAATCACAAACACCTGATTACAACATCCCTTTCTACATAATATATATATTTTTAAAACTCACGGCACAAAGGCTCTTCTGATACCCGAGTCCTTGCAATTTCAAGTAGTTCAATGTGAACATCTATTACTAGAGTCTGCTAAAAGCTTTTGTCTGCCGGGCTCCTCTATGATGCTACTGAGAGACTTAATGAGTGAGCCAAGTCACTGGTTGCTAGACAGAAACACTGGACTCCTCAGGGAGCTTGTGCCAGTATTAAAAATAGCTAAGAGCAGGTTATTAACCTTATTAGGAGTGCAACCCGTTTTTTAGGATGAAAACATTTGGGGTCTGTTTCTAGCATGTTGACAACAATTCATTCAAATTATCATAATGAGCACTGACTGGCTGTGTAATACATAC